CCTCTCAGTGGAGGGGTTTAATGGCCTCTTCAGTGTGGATGATTTTCACTTGTTTGAGAAAATCTGGTAATGTTTGGTCTTTCACTCGTCTCACGTGACTCATCCTGCTGCCAGTAACAGCGTTCCATTTCTCAGTGTTGTCGTGGTACATTTTGGACATCACATCCAAACAAAACCAAGAATGGCAATTTTTTTTTTTTTAACAAGAAGTAATTAAAGAGAATGAACAGTAAGAAAAAAAAAGGCAAATGACCTAGTTTGGTCTTCGCCGCAAAACCCACAGTTCTCTGGGGATATCTAAGTATGTTAAGCAAATATTTCAAATCTATCTCTATTTTGAATGTGAGTCATTTCAGTTAGACATCTTTCAGTTATTTGTCCACTGGTCTTAATTAGGTAAACTCCAAAGCCCTGCAACATGTGTTTATTGTTGAATAATTACCCTTTTGGTAAGTCTTCTTGCTCTTACCTTCTTAGCCTTAATAGCTAATTTGATCAGTAACAAGCCTTCCTGCATGGTAAACAAGGTGTTTTCTGGGGAAGAAAGAGAGATATTGCCCTTTAGTTAGGGCTGTTTTGAATGTGGATGTCATTCTTGCACAGACAGGTTTCCTTTGGTGTGAGCATATGTCCTGCTTTGTTCCAGCAGAATTTACCCCCAGCAAGAAATGTAGGGCTGACCCTGCATATCCCAACCAGTTCCAGTGTCATTCCTGAGGTGTGGACACAGTCAATGGGGCCAATTCTCACAAGACTTAATCTGGCATAAATCAAGAAAAAACTTCCCCAAAGTCAGTTCCCCCAGAATGAAAGGAGCAAGGTATCCAAAATGAAACTAACTTGATTACTCATATGGAAGGAATTGCCTGATTGCAGCCTTTGCACACTACTGCATCAGCTGCTTCCGTTCCCTTCGCGAACATTTAAATGTAAAGATATAAATCAAAAGCTCAGGACAGAAAGAGAGAAAGACAGAAGTTACCTTGATGGATTCCACTTCCATGAGATCCTTCTGGAAACCATTCTGCTTTTATTAGATTTACTCTCTGTAAATTAGGATTACTTTTTTATATGGATTTATGGAATGGCTATGGTGTAGTGCAAGTGGGGTGAACCCTCTGGTCTAAGGCGAGGGAGTGTGTGCTCTTTTCATCTGTTATTGGAAAGTTACAGTATGTGGGTTAAAGGCCCCTCGATACCAGTGAAAGAAGAGTTCCAGACATGGAAAGTGCTTAAATTCTGTGTGTGCCAGCCAGTGATATTAATATTGTATAGAACAGCCAGTTGTCAGAGGGCCAGATTCTGTTCTCAGTTACAGCGGTGTAAAGCAGACTTTTTTCAGAGGCAATGAATTCACCTTCACAAGTGCTTGAAGAGTTAAAGATAGACTCAGGTTGTCCGTGTTCAGAGAGAATCTCTGAGCTGCTGCTTTTTCGGCTGCTGGGGGAGATAAAAAAACGTGAGCTGGTGGTGGTGTCCCTTGTCTGTCATTGTTCCAACTTCCATATGGTAGGCACATTTCGGAGGCTTTGGTACAAGTGTGACTTCACTCAGGGCACTGTTGTGCAAGACATTTTTAGCTCTCATTAATGAATCTGTAAGGTACTTTGTGAAGGCAAATGTACAGTGGATTAGCTGAAAACAGAATTTCACACAGATTTAGCATAAGTGCTCTGTTCTTTTGCAGGGAACAAATGTGTTTTCTGATTTGACAGCTACAAGAGAAGATAATTATTTTTGACAGCACAGGGATAGTGTTCATGTTATTCTAGGAAATCTCCATCTTCACACAAATAGGTATCACTGTGTGCTACAGTTGGTATTGCTGAGCTTTGGTGAAAGCTTCAAGTTTCTTTGTTTTGATAATATGATAAAATTGGTAAAGTACATATTTAGAAAGCCCTAATGAATTTCAGACTTGTATCATTTGGGGAATGAAAGAAAGTGTTTTATTATGAGTCCAGTATAAACCTTAAACATTTTAAGCGACTCCACAATATTTTGGAGGGAAGATACATCTTGACTATATTCCAAGTAACACTGCTGATGGAAATAGAGGAACTGGGTATTGGGTGAATTGGGTATTGTAAGTCTGATTGATTTACCATCTTTTCTTGGTCGTGTGGCCTTTGGAAGTGTGGAGAGCTGATTCACTAGTGTTCAACAGTGTATTTAGATACCCTTTAAATGTGATTCTCCTAAACCAATTAAGAATCCAAAGTCTCATTATACAGTCTTGCTAAGGTAGGTATTATCCCTGAAGTGAGTTAAATTATGATTGAATGAAGCCAGAATAGGAATGGGATAAAGCCCAATGAAGCTGTGGACTCCAGAGAATCATGATAATTTATGTCATGATTACAAGCAGGGCAGAGCTAATAATCAGAAAGACCCACTATAAGCTGAAAGGCCTCCAAAGTGATCTTAAAAGGTTGGGTGACTGCCTTGTACAGGCCAGAAGATGCTGAATTTCTGTACAGCTTCTGTATCTCTTCAGAGTCATTCAAAACAGTCACACAGTGTCAGTGAATTCAGGTCTCTGAATATAGATCTGAAATAACTAGAACATATATATTAATTACCATGAAGAAGGCTAATGGCCCATTTTGTATAGTTTAAATGCAAACCAGTTTCTCTTTAAAATCTCTTTCCTGAAAAATCTTACATGGGCTTTTTATAAATGTTTATATAAAATGATGCTGACCTACACTTCCTAGGACTTTTCACATGCCTTGGTGTCGTGATGGAGCTGGGTAGGAAAAACTCAGTATTAGTTTTCCAATTTGAAAGATTCTGACTTCTGAAAAAGTAAAAATCAAATAAATGGTCAAGAAATGTAATGTATCAGCCAAACACTGAAAACTTTTCGCTGGAAACAGGGAATTCTCTTCTGGAAATGTCACAATAGCGCCTCATGCAAGTTGTAATTTGGGTGTCATATGTGCCCGCTCTTTTCTGTGGCTCTGGACTACATCTTCATCTGACATGGTCTTCCCATTACAATGGCTCCATGGAGCATGATGGGGATGCTGTGGAGCCCAGCCAGTAGAGGAGAATGGACTTTTGTGCTGCGAGGCCTTTCACGAATTCTAAGTTACCAGAGACTTTTTTTGCCTTCCCCAGTCACCTCTTTCTTTTCATTTATACTCACCAAACCCCTGAATGTGATTCTCATAATTTTCAAAGCTTTCATTGACTGTAATTATAGAGGACCATGGCAGCCCAGGCTCTCCCACTCACCTTCAGTTTGCTACAGGGTTAGAATATGATCAGAGGGGTGGAACACCTCTGCTCTGGAGACTGGACTTGTTCAGCCTGGAGAAGAGAAGGCTCTGGGGAGACCGTATTGTGGCCTTTCAATATGTAAAGCAGAACTTGTAAGAAAAACAGAAAAACTTTTTACTAGGGATTGTAGTAATAGGACAAGGGGCAGTGGTTTTAAACTGAAGGAAGATAGATTTAGTTAGGATATAAGGAAGGAAATTTTTCATGAAGAGTGGTGAGGCACTGGCACAGTTTGCCCAGAGGAACTGTGGATGCCCCATCCCTGGAACAGTTCAAGGCCAGGTTGGATGGGACTTTGAGCAACCTGGTCTAGTGGAAGACATGCCTGGCCATGACAGGGGGTTTGGACTAGATGATCTTTGAAGGTCCCTTCCAACCCAAGCCATTCTATGATTCAATACTGATATATACCTGCCCTGGATAATACCACAAATTATACTGCTGAAATGGTAGAAGTTGTGTTGTCTGTGGTGGGTCCAGTGAGGGTTTCAGTAGAAGCAGGAGCAGACCTGAGAGCAGTGTAGAGCAGGTTATTGGTGATGGGGATGTTTGTAAGTCTGTGGCTGCTCATAGAGATTGATTTCACACAATTAATTTCACACAATTACTAAGTCAGGTACTTAGTTTAAGTTACTTGTTTAGGCACCTTGTATAGTCAGTGAGAAGAGGAAAACATGTCTTGGAGCTGCATGAGCCTATTTTGGGATGGCTGAATGATGTAGACATTGTCTGGGTAAAACTCGAGAGACAACAAAACTATAGTGGGATGAATTGTGCCTTGTAACACACCTGGATGCTTGTGAAAATCAATGATTTGCAGGAAACTGAGCACAAGTTTTATCTTTTCTGTCCCTTTGCAGAATTTGTTTTCTTCCTCAGTGTGTGACACTCAGTGCCTCCTTGGAGAGTGGGCTGACTACAATGCAGTTCCCCTCACCATCAGAGCTGGGTACAAGGGTGAAGGAGCCACTTCTGAGCTCTGTATGGAAACTACAGAACTACGCTTGCCTTAGTATCTGACACCATTACATTTTGTCTGCATGAAAAATCAGATTTGAGGAAGATCTAGTATTTTAAGAACATGATTTATCTACCATAGTGAAAATGGTTATATATATATTTCTGAGTAATACTGCTATAGCTCTAGGCTGTTTTTCTAGTCTGTAAAATGGAGTATTTACCAGAGCAGAATTTATGATTATTAGCATTAGCATTTATAATAATAGCTTACTTGGAAAATACAGTTAAATGTATAAATTAAAACAAAACCACTTAAATTTTTTCACACTGTTGACCTGACAGTAAAGTAGAAACATGCCCATCTAAAGTCATAATCAGAGAGATAATTATCTGCAAAGAAAAACTCGACTTACGTCACTGTTTTCAGAGAGTCCCTCTCCCTGGAAATAAAGGGACTCTGAAACATCCCTCTCCAAAATGTAGCAGGCAAGGCTTTACCCTAAAAATGCAAAGAAGGAAAGGAAGTTACCTTTTTTGAGGTAGAAATAGCCACAAAACTTAAAATGAGAAATAAACAATAGTTCACAGATCCAGATTCCTTTGCAATTAATTTTGTCTTCCTTGTGAAACCCTTCATTTCCACTGCCGTGTCATTGATGAGAATTCTGCAGGGAAATCCAAAACGAGTGTACAAAGTAGTAGTGAGTTCTTAGTCAAAGGCTTATTGTTTTTTATTTTACTTATTTTTTTGACAGTGAACGGTGGCTACAATCATTGCAGTTTGATCTCCGAGAAGAAGACCATGATGGACATGGAGATGACGAGTAGTTCAGTGCCTGTCTGCAGGCAAGGGCTGTTCATCCACACGGGGAACTCCCTCATGCGAGAGCACCCCCTGTCCCGGGAGAGGCTGCTGCACGTGGGTCAGCTCAACCTGGCGCACTCGGATATGAGGTACCAAAGCTGCAACTTTTATCAGTTCGTGCACTTTGCTCTTCTGGAGAGTTGCTTTGTTGGAACTGTTTCCCAGTAGCATCTGCGGGTGCTACATTTGAAAGTGTATTATTGGCTTCCCCTTTGTTTCGGAAGTCCTTCAGTGCCAGAGGAGTCACTGCGTGTGCAGCCACAGCCCCTGAACTGAAGTTTAAATACAGCTTCTCTGTGGGGGCTCTTCCAGGGTGCTCAAAAGTAGATGAGAACTTTGCCTCAGAGGGTTCAGTAGGGTCAGACTTACCTCCCCTGTACCTCTGCCCCACTGCCATGGTGTTTCCAAATTGCAGCCTGGAGGGCAGGGATGATACTCGGTCCCAACCCAGTGTCTCCCATGTGACAGTTTGGCATGCCACCATCAAACGTACAGGAAGCCAATGCCACTTTAATTTCTACTGCATCTCCTTTTCAGTGTTCAGTATTTTCAGTGTTCCCATACAGCCACATCCTTGGTATTTGCTTTTAAGGCCGTAATGTGAAAATTTGGTCTCTGGTTTTGATATATACACTGTAGTTGGATATGCTATGAACAGAATCTCTATTTAAACATTTGCTATAAATTAATTATATGAAAACACAGAACTCCATTATTTTTTTGTTGTTGTAACAAATTTAACATTACCAGATTTTAAACAAGTACCCTAAACAGACATCCATTGTGAATAGAAGCCTGCTACAAATTAAAATCTGTCCATCTATTTTAATTACGCTGCTTTTTGGCAGGGGATATAATATGGAATAATCTTGACCTTTTTGAAGAGCTGTAGAAAAGAGAAACCTCAGTAAAGTTGCAGCCTTTATCTTAGGTACTTGGAATAACTGGCACTATGTGCATGGAACTATCAAGCCCAAATTTCCATAGCCACAGCAAGAGGAAATACAGCCTACAGCTCGGTCTTGAAAATCCAACTGTTTCTGATTTTATTATACATATTTATGTCTTGTTTCCCCTTTTCCATTTACTGGTGGGGTAGGAACATCTGTGTTTTCAGGAGAAGGAGGCAAAGTAACATGACAAGCAAGTGGAAAGAGTTTTTTGTATGTTTGTTTGTTTAAAAAGGACAAATAATATCCATGCCACATAACAAAATATTCCAGTATTGCTACAAAGATTTGTAGATGCATTTGCAGCTGGATGTAAATCTGCTCCCTCCTGGCTTCTTTATGGCTCAATGTGGGACTGGCAATTATCAACCTTTTTTTAATTCTGTCAGTGAGGACAATTATAAAACAAAGATAATTAGGGCAGGAGCAAACAAAAGGAGGAAGAGAGTGCTCTGCTTAGATCTTTCTGAACCTTTTTGTAAAATTTATAATGAGGAAATGACAGATACCTGCATACCTGGCATCACAGTACCCACCCTCAGAAATATGAACCCCTTCCAGCCCCCATTTGGAAGAGGATTCCCAGAGCAACATAAAGGATTGTCTGTTGCATAACATGAGAAAGCAGCGGGTTATAGGCCTGATTCCCTCTCCTTTGCCTTGTGGCATGGTCTAAAGCCTTGAAGCTCTACTGCTTCTAAGTTTGGAAATGTATGGAGAGTATCTTGAAGGACCCTTCTTCTCCATTACAGGTTTGGTTTTGTGTCCCACTGATCATGCTTTTGCTTGTGTGTCCACCTGGCTAGTACTGATTTTGTCAGCATGGGATTAGCAAGGTGAAGCCAGTGCCCAGCTCTGCTCTGTGGACCTCCTAGACACAGTGTCTCATTGTATCACTGTGCTGCTCGTGAGACACGTGGTTCAGAGCCAGAACTTTGGCATTTGAGAGAAGCATTTGGGATGATTTCTGTTCGTGGTGTTTGTGACACTGAAGGTTCTTTACAAACAAGTAACAGAAAAGATGATCTTTCCTGAAGATCTGAAAACAGGAGAACATAACTGAGGTGGGGGTAAATGCCCAGCAGTGAAATTAGTGGGAGCCAGGAGTGCTCTGCACCCCCCCGCCCCCCATCTCAACCTTCATTAGAAAATAGAGAAGTAGGGCTGGAGTTGTCAGATATTGGAGCACACAGAAGTCAGGGCAAACTCTCTTTGGTTGTTCTTCCCAGTTCTAGTGACCAGCACAGAAATAAACGGAGATACAAATTCAAACAGTCTCTCTGGGTTGAGCTTTGAACAGCTTTGTGTTTCTAGGGTATGGAATGTCAGGGAAAAGCCAAACAAACCAGAGAGCACCTCCCCTAGAAATCAAAAGTCTCCCTCAGGATTTGGAGTTGTGATTGTCCTTTTTTCCCCTCAGTGCACTGAAACTTGTTATCCCCTTCAGCTTCTCCCTGAATTGCTTTCTCTTGAAAACTGTATTCTAGGGATGACTGCCGTAGTCCAAGAATCATGATCCTTCTTCTTCCTGGCCCCTTTTCCCCACTCAGTTAATATCTTCTAAGTTCTGCAGCCTAATTGCTGCTACATTCTATCTGTGAATGCAATGCGTGTGGGACTGGAAAAGTCCCAATACCTTCCTCACCACAACTGGAGTCAGCACACAGCTAATGTTGGCCCTTTGTCAAATAATCCATTATCAGACGCGGCAAACCCTCCCACACGGTGCTCAGTGCTCAGATGTAAAACCCAGGGAAGACATCAGAGCACTCGGATAGTGTTGCACGGGGTCCCTGGATGTGCAGCAGAACAATCCCCTCCAGCTTCTTAAAACTGTCAGTTATCACCGAGCACACATTTACAGTGGCAATGGAAGGCATGTATGTTTTGTAAATAATCCGGAGATTTCAGATACAGTCATCTTTTCCTCTGAGGACAGTTGGGAACTGCAGCGCTTCTGGCGTGGTGCTACTGGCCTCGTGCTCTGGCTCCAATTACCACGTAAGGGAGTCTCTTTGGAAACACTGTCTTAGTATCCTCTGAGAGGCTGCTGTTACTCTTCAAAGGCCTTACACTCAGCTTTCCTGTGCTTCAGCAGCAATTCTGCTCCCTCGGACTGTCCATCCCTGGTGCATGGATGCTCCCCATGAAGAGAGGCTTGTGGGGTGTATTCTCCTGCTGACTCCACTCCCTTCCAGGATTGCCCATTTGGAAGCCCCCCAAAGCTGCTCGTGCTGATCCATGTGTCCACACGGTGCTCCTTACGCTGTCCTGCTCTACTTCGTCCCCTCATCTTGGCTGTTTTATTTCGTAGACATTTATATTTGGCTGCTGCCCAGAGATCATGAAATCCTTAGGGGCCAGCACAGCCTGTGGGTACCAGGCCTGGAATCTGATCCCTGGCTGTGACAGCAAGATGCCTTTGCAGGAGCAAATAGTCAATGGGTAAAAGAGGACCCACCCAGCAAGTTGGATGCCAGACACCTTATGTTGCTCCTGCATTAGTTTTGTTTCTTTGCACCTTCTTCCTCCAACCCTTTCAGGACTGGGAGGAACGAACAGGGCTTTCCCTAGAATAGTGATGGCAAAATTCTGCCAGTAATACAGGAACTGTGCATTAATGCAACCTCAGCATTAAGTAGCCCAGCGCTCAAAACATCAGGAGATTGAAGAAATGTTAGATCCTCCCAGCAGAGCTAACTCACATGGGATATGTAGTGTATATAAGTATACAGTGCTACAGAGAAAACTGCAGTCCCTGGAAAGGACTTGCTTCTGATCTGCACAAGCAACCTGTGCTTATCATTTTGTAGGCAGAGCAATGGATAAGACATGGCTGTGGCAATGGGAAGTATGAATTCAGTGCCATCATTGCTTTTGAAATAAGGTGTTCCAGCTTGCCTTTTGGTTCAAAACTCCTCTCTTGTGTGTCTCATATTCTACATGGCAGCATCACAGCAATACAGTCCTGACTCTGAGTAAACTCCTCTGCTGGAAATGCAGATGGATGTTCCTGAGAGTTTTGGGAAGCTAGTATTTCTCAGGATAGGGATGTTTGTATCCATCCTGCAGGTACTCTGCACTGACTCCAGCTTAGGCAAAAGCCAAACTCCTCATGGGGATTTTTGGCAAGATGGGAGCTTTACATAAAGCTTAATAATATGACACCAATTATCACAGGCTGAAATGTAAGGCTTGGGTTAGCTTTATGTGATGTAGGAAATGTGTTGTGTTTACTTTAGCCTGAGGCTTTGGGACCACTAAACTATGATACAAACTGAATTATTTAGAAGAGTTTTTGTACAGCAGAAACTAAGTAATAGGAAATACTGTGCCTGGCATGGCATGTGTAAAGCCTTTCTCAGAATGAGTTTAAAACACCATGCTTTTTACTGAGCAAGCAGAGCAGGGTTTCCCAAACATGTGCCATAAAAGTATACTTATGCCACATATTTTACAGACATATGGTTCTGTAAATGTTAAAAAATAATGTATGAATACAGTTGGGCTTGGGTTTTTTTAGTATAAATTTACCATCTGCAAAAACAGGTGCTTTAAGTTTACCCTGAGACCAACTGTGCAAACCTAAAGGGAGAAATTATAAGTAATGGTTTATGGAAACCTCTAAAATGTTTAAATATACTCGTTTGAAATTTCTGGTGGCAAATGCAAGATCTGATTGTTCTATATCAGTGAATGGTGGGGAATTTCACTTCTCTCACGATCTTAAAGGGTTTTTTAATATTAAGCCCTATTGCCTGCAAACTGTTGGAGCTTAGAAACCTGTCACTAGTGAATGCAGTGTTGCCAGTTGTGTGCCTCGAACAGGTGTCATTTTGACAACCTTAATTTCATGGGAAGGAAGTATTTTTGAAGCTTTATATTGTTGTTATGTTTTTTTCTAATTGCTCATTCTCTGAGAGCTGTTACCAGGGAAGTTGTAGAAGTTGTCACAGCTTCCCATTTTAATGTTAGTGGTGGATAATAGTGATAAAATCATCTAAGGTATAAAATAAATGCAGTTTATTCAGCAGCTTCACAGTTTAATATATGTTTATGTCCAAAATACCTTATGCATATGTGTTTCATGCTTTAAAATGTGTCAGATCTGCCTTAGCTGTGGTGTCACACACAAGTTGCCAAATGGTTGGGTTTTTTCCAGCTTTTGTGGTGCTAACATCAGAAAAGCATGAAATTTATTTAAGTGGAACATGTCAGCCTAAGAGCCATGGGGCACTTCTCTGGAGGGTTTATTAGCTCAGGTACAGCTTTCCTGCACACAGATGTACTGCTTCCTCTTCTGAGTCTGGCACATCGCTGCACAGTGAAGCCATAGGTTAAACCCTCCCGTGCTTTAGGGATATGTAAGGAACACCCTCTGGTCCTAAGAAAAATCACACAGTTGGATCATCCACAGTAAATGTTTATAGCTGAGATAAAATGTTTTATTTTAAGCCATAAACCAGTTGCTAACTGCTTGGAAGAAAATGTTAGGAGGAGCTGTTTCCTGATGCACTGTTTCTTTGAAAAGTCTATGTGGCATTTCTCAAGATTCTGCTTCCTGAATGAATGGATTCAGCACACATCAGGAAAGATGAAAAATCGCTTTTGCAGAACAATCTTACTTTGACTTACAGACCCATGCACACTTTATTATGAAAAATAGAAATGGGAGTGCACAGGCTGCCAGTTTAAATCTACCAACTGTGTACTTTGTATTTTGTGAATGTAAATACTCAGCTGATATCTCATTGATTCTGAACCGCTGGTTGAAATTGAGCAGTTCTTTCTTTGTATTCCTTTTTTCCCCACTGATCTTGTTCCTGTTTTAGTCTAGTGAAGGAAAGCCTGTCTCGGACATGTAAGCGTAGCTCAGCCAGCCTTTTTTGATTCGTGTGAACAAGAATGCCAAGGCATTTTCCCAGTGTGCTCTGAGGAAAATGCTGATATTTGAATAATTCAAAAATGCCCAAAGCTCTCAAACTTCATTCTCAGCTATTGTTTTGCCCGATCTATTATGCATTGAAAGCCTAGATTGTGATTGATGAACTGCCTGTAGCAGTGGAGGGGAGATTGTCTGTTCCGTGTGTAACCCATTGCGTAAAATTAATCCCGTGTAAAATGATGCTGACTTTACACAGGTTGTAGGGGAAGCATTGCAGATTTTTTTTGGTGTAATTGCTGCATTAGACAGGCAACATTCAGCAGAGAGCAAACGCTTCCATTCTCCAGGGCTTAACAAGTGTTGTATCTTGTACAAAAATCATAAATCCTGTGGTAGTTAGCGATGCTTAATGAAAACTGTATTACAGGTCACCCAGGTTTCAAGACTCAGTAGATTCTGCTGCTCCATGCCTGAATGGAAGTCACCCGGCTCAGCACATTAAACAAGAATGCCCGAGTGATTATAAGGTTCTGTCTGAGGCTTCCACACATAGGAGGATTACGGAGGGGATGGAGCTGAGAGCCTCCGGTAGTCTGCATCCTGAACTAGACCTAATGAATAATAGCTTTACAAATTCACTTTCATCCTACTTGTTTAATAATGAACACAGCTCCTCCCTGAGTCCTTTGTCACTTGGCACCCCTCAGCACTCAGCTAGGCTACAAACAAGCAACCTGAAGAAGAGATGCATCTCTGTTGTGCCGTCTTCAGCCGAAGGAATCGATATTACCGCGATCATCCGCACATCGCAGACGTCACTGGTCACCTGTGTGAATGGGCTGCGAACTAATGCAGCTGGCATTTCCTCTCATCCTGTGGAGATCAGTCATCACAGTGCTCAAAAATCCTCTCAGCCCCAATCTTGCTCTCAGCCTGGAAACCCTTGCAGTATTCCCTCCCCTCCAGCATGTCTTGTACCTCTTTCCGCTGACTGTGACAGAGGTGACTGTGAGCAGATACAAATGCAGCAAGTGGAGGAGAATGGAAGCCTCAGCCTTATGATGAATGGTACTGGCATTGCTCACCAGAACACCTCGCACAGCACCCAGAAGGTGAGTTTCTTAAAACAAGAACCAGCTGACGATTATTCCTCCAGTGCTGATCTTTTTCGCCATCACCAGGGGCTGCCTCCCCCTTACCACCTCCACCAGCAGCTAAGCCAGACCCAAGGGACTCTGCCTCACTTAAACGCCTCCATGTCTCCAAAGTCCCTGCAGCCCAGTGACGGGGATGAACAGGACCTGAGCAGTGGCAAACAGGTCTGTCAGTGGATTGACTGCAGTGCCACTTATGACCAACAAGACGAACTGGTCAGACACATAGAAAAGACTCACATTGACCAGCGGAAGGGAGAGGACTTCACTTGCTTCTGGGCAGGCTGTGTCCGCCGCTATAAACCCTTCAATGCTCGTTACAAACTGCTGATTCATATGAGGGTTCATTCTGGAGAAAAACCAAACAAGTGCATGGTAAGTCTGGATTATATTTGTTTGAATAGAAACATAACTGCTCTGCTCTCATTCTTGCTCTCTCTTCGATCTTATTCCAATATAATTGTTGTGCTTTCCTGTAACTTAGTCTGCAGCAGGCTAAAGGGGAATTGGAGAAACCCTTAATCTAGAAGGAAATGATTGAGTAAGAAATACTGTAGTTCTTGGAAAAGGGATTCAGTTTCCTTATATGAGAGCTTAAAGTTTAATACAGTGCTTTGTTTTTTTAATATTCATTAAAGCACTAATAAAGTGATGATCAAAGCACGCAGCCGTCATTTAACGTAAAACAAAGTCACTGAGCCTCGGGTGACATTTTTAATCAAGAAACATAAAACACATCTAATGAAATTCTTTTCATTCCTTCAGCTGAACAATAACCCATAGAGTTGTGAGTGCAAAAGTTTCAAATGGTAGTTTAGAAAAAAAAGAAACTTGTTAAAGGATTTTAAACAGCTAAAAAAATAAAAAGAATATGTTTAATTACGTTTTCAAAGGTTGTTAGGGGCTTTTTTAATTTACAAAACAGAGCTTTAAAAATAAGTAAAAACCATTGTTCTCTTCTGATCAAGAAGATGTAAACAACAGCAGTGTTCCAAAAAGAGGATCTTGGGAATAACACCATCTCTGCATCTGCCCACCATGATGACAATATGGCCAAACTAAAATAAAAGTTAATGACTTCCATTAAGCTTTCCACATGTTTGAAACAACAATGATATAAGACCCTGACTGAAACAGATGAAGCAAAACAAGTTTGACATAAGCTTCCAAATTGGGCCATGAAATTTGGAAAGTCTTATTTGTAACACCCACATGCGTGTGGGTGTTATACACACACATACACACACACACAAATAAGTACAGACAAAGGGAACTATTATGGCAGCAGGTTGTGGTTCCTGATAGGCAGAATTTTCGGCTATATGTCTATTTTATTGTTTTGATCAGAGCATGATAGAATGGAAAATGCATGTAAGAAAGTTAGATCATGACAGACTTTTCCATGGCAAGCTGTAACTTTCTATGGAGGAATAGGAAAGAATGTTTATAGAAAAAGCTTACTTTTTTTTCGTTTGTCCAAGAAAAAAGCTTGCAGGCCTGCGACAGTTATGGAAGGGAGAAGGAAGAAAACAACAGTATTGTTTTGCAGAGAAAACTTTTCTCTGTACATGATCGTCCTGATTATCTCTTTATTTCCATTGGATAAATGAAAAACATTATCTTAATGTCTGCACTGTTGAGTGGGTATTCCTAAAATAATACTGGCAACAGTGCAGATACTTAGCGAATACCTTCAAGTTGTCCAAGATAAAACAGAAACACTCTAAGATTTCCTTGTTTCTTTTTCCTTCGAGAGGAAGAATCAACTTGTTTGTTTCCAGAAGTAGCTCACTCACATTTTGTAAATGTAGGAATGAATTTAACTTCCCACGCATAGCTTTTATTAAGTGATAAATCATCAAAGGATAATACAAGTTTCTTCTTTGTAAACAGAAAAGTATAGGTAAGTAAGATGTGAAAGCATACTTAGACATTTTATTTTAGCCTACTTTGGTTTTTTTTTTTTTTTATCTGGAGCAAGATCAGTCTTCTTCCTACTTTTATTTCACACTTTTAAGACGAAATACTTAAAATGTGAAGCGCTGATTAGCTTTCCTGTGATGCTGAAAGATTTAGTAGACTCTGTGGGTGAGGAAACCTTTCTCTTTTCCTGCAAAATGCGTATTTGGCAGGTATTGTATAGCAGAATTCTAATGTTACATTCCCATTCCTACTGAAGACTCAGTAAATCAGAGACATTAAATCATGTGATATCTTAGCAAATGCTAAAAATTTCTTACTTTTCATCATTTTCATCTGCATTAAAGTACCAGCTTTTGATAACATCTCAAGGTTTAACATTGTGAATAAGTTGGAAAAACCTTTGCATCTGATGTTGCAAACAGCCTTTATGGCATGTGTATTTAGCCTTGGCATGTAAGTGTATAAAGATCTGTTTTATTGGAGCAGATACTGTAGTTGTTCCCATACATGGAATGGCCCAATCACAAGCAGGAGTTTTCCATTGGCCCAACTTGGAGTTAACTCTCCTATTCCCAGAATAAGAGCCTTCCACTGTCAGCAGAGGTATGATATGTTGAATGTTACAGTCTGGAATCCTGCGTGGAGTAAAGTGGATCCAACAGAGCACACGAAAAACGTGTCTTCTTTGCAAATTCAGTTTTCTACCCTGGAAAGACGTTGATCTAGCAGGGGCAAGATCCAGAGCTGCAGCACAGCTCCCTATAGTTATTAATATCAAGTGGGGATTATTTGCCCAGCGAATTCCATTCCGCTTTAAACAAGGGTTGCTGTGCAGTGTTGCATTGTGCAGTGATGTCATGTCATTTTAAATGATGGCTTTTCTTTTGATGTGGTAATAATTGTGCTGTTATTCCTGCAAATTAAGAAGGCAATTCATTCGCTGTCTATAGAGGTCTGAGATTTTGTTTCGTTTTTGCTGTAGCTCTGTTAAAGTAACTTTACATCTCTTGGTATTTGTAGTGGAGATTTTCTTTCGCTGTTCACAATTACCCATTGTACTTCCTTTTTAAGCCCTTGATTTTGTTCCTCTCTGTAAGATTACTGCCTGACTAGGTATTGACTGCTCAGGAGAAGCTAACAGCGAGCAGCACCCCTCCCTCATACATAAAAGTACTTCTCCATGTAAAATTATTAATTTCTTATGACAGGCTTTGCTACTATGTACTGTAATAGACAAAGGAATTTTGGAATTCAAGCTACTTGAGAACAGGAAATACATGAGACATTTTGATTGAAAAGTAAATGGTTCACTAAAACTGCAGTTAATCCTTTTATTATCTTTCCAACAGCAGTTTCCACAATACTTTCATGAGGTAAGCTTCCTTCAGTCCAACTGTAACACTCTCATCGTTGCAGCTGGTTTGAATTTAGTGAGCCTGCTTCTTTCTCTACTACAGACAGTCGACAGGCTAAACAGGGTCTGGTGCAAAGCACTACTGATGTTTTGGGTCCATATTCTGCTCACTGCGTTTCATTGCCAAAACCGGTACTATGAGTATTCTGTTTTCATATTCTGTTAAATATTCTAATTAAGCAGTGCCTTCTCGTCATTGTGTCCCTCAGTTTGGTTTTTCCTTGGGCTCTGCAAGTAGTCTAAAGGAAACTACCTAATCTCTTTGCAATATCCTGTTATGTTTCATACTTAACTCATGTTATTTTAGTTTTATTAAATTTGGGGTTCATCTGCATTATAATCAAAAATATATCCAACAAAAATAATGATGCAATGCCTTTAAAACTTTAACTTCTGAAGATTAATTTCATGCTTTTTTAGATTTGATGTCCCAGACAATTGGAATTTTGATTGTCTGAGACAGCAAAAATTAGCAAGCTTAAATGGTTTTTGTTTAAAAAAAAAAAAAAAAATGAAAGAAAAGAAAAAGTTTCTCATAGCTGCATCTTTTGCTGCCTTTCAGTTCTTTGAGTACTTTGGTGAGTAGAACTGTGCTGATCTCCAGATATTGCATCCTTGGTTTAAGCCGCTGCTTGCAAATGTAAATATAGAGCTGCTCATTTAGTTGTCTAGAGTTGTTTGATTTGGACAAATCTGTTCTTGGCTTATTAGTTTACCCTTTTGCACTCTTGTGGCTCCATAAAGAGTAGAAAATTATGTTCCCATCATTGCGTGTGTATGTGCTCTGGGGCCTCCACAGAGAGGATCAAGGTAGGTGTATTTGTCTTTACGTAATTTCTACATATGCAATTAGTCTTTATAGAAATCGGGAATCCTAATGTGTGTGATACCCATGAAAGGAGCTGGATAGGGATAATATTAATGTCTCTACTTCATGTATTTCAAGGAAAATGTTCTAGACTTGTCTGTCACATTACATGCTTGTCTGGATGGGTAAGACTTCAAAGCAGAATTTTTTTTTTCATGTATATATGCTAAATACTCAGTTTGGGAGGAGTCTCAGTGGATTGATTTGGGTGCTCTATTGTGCAAAGTGAAATTCAGCACCTGTGCTGTTTGTACTCAGTTCTTTTGAATCCCTAAGGGTGAGACACTATAGGTACTGCATTAAACATGGGAAAATTGAGACAGAGGAGATAAGTAACTTGCCTAAAGGCATCCTGAGGTAATTCCAGCATTCCAGTGCAGATCTTGTGTTCAAATCACTACATCACACAAACTAACCATTTGCAATTTACCTATGAAGCAGATTTTTGTACAGATTACACAAACGATAGTGCTGGGGCTGAACTCCCTGTTATTTTTACTGCACGAGGCAGGTGGTTGGACATGTCATGGACATGTGCAAGCTTTCATCAGAAGGCTCAGCTGCATCCGTAACACTTCACGGGCAGCAACCTGGTTATTGGCAGTACAGGAGGAAGGGGCCTGTTGAGCAGATTAGTATTATTGCTGCTGTTCCTAAGGAAACCAGCACGGAATCTCTGTTCTCAGTAGATAGTGAGTATGATGCTGTCTATGATCCACAGGGAGTGAGTGTCTGGCAATGCATGGTGAGAAATGAGATCTCTACGGGCTAGAGCCACAGATGAATCTGAAGGACAGCTCTGCATCTGTGAGGAAAATAGGTCTGCATGCACCAGCTTACACGCTTTTGAGTTACTTCACCTAAACAATGAGTTTCCATGCCTGAGTCGAGGGAATGTTGTTGAAGTCTGGAAAGTATTTTTGGCTTTTGGAATGGAGGGTGTCATGCACTGATGCCAAAGGAGTGCTTTAAAAAAACAACAATAATATTAGGCTCACTTTCTTTCCTTTGAAGTCAATAGTAGGAAACATCCATTTTATCAAAGCTGCCTCACCAGAGATCTCTCTTTTTATTAGGTCTCTGATGGCATTTCCCGATACTGTCAAGGAACCGCAGCATTAAAAACACTCTGATTAGAGGAGTAGACAGCAGTGGTTTTGTGGAAGTACA